CCCGACGGCGCGGCGCGCGGGCAGATCCTGCAGAGGGCGCTGGCTCAGCAGGGCTGTGCGCTGAGCGAGCGGGAGCTGGCCGCCCTGGTGCAGGGCACCCAGGGCTTCTCGGGCGGCGAGCTGGGGCAGCTGTGCCAGCAGGCAGCGGCCGAGGCGGGGCTCTCCGGACTGCAGCGGCCCCTTTCCTACAAAGACGTGGAGGCTGCTCTAGCCAAGGTGGGCCCTCGGGCCTCCCCCAAGGAGCTGGACTCGCTAGTGGAGTGGGACAAAATGTACGGCTCCGGACACTGAGGGTGGCAGAGGGGAGGCCACCTCCGCCTCGGGGGATGTGCTTGGCCAAAGGAGTGATGAATGTGGGGTGGGAGAGGGGAGGGCTCTGCCGGTGGATTTGTTTTTTTGTGGGAAGGAAAAATGTTCCTGCCCGGCAGATCGATGCCATATGCACCGTGTACTCAGGTTTCTCCTATTTATTGTGGACGGGGAGTTCGCCATCTCCGCCGGGCACACCGGGCACACCCGACATGAGCTGGCACCAGGGCCTAGGGAACTCCCGCCCTCTCTCCACAATCCTTTTGCCTCCTTGCCCCCTGAGCATCCTCCTTCCCCGGTCTACCTCCTCTGTATTGACTTAGTTTCTCAAGGCTTTGTCCCTGCCCCCCCCCCCCACTGTCCCTGTTCCTTTCGGCTCCACTTTCCGGTCCCCACCTCATCTGTCGCCCTCTGTGCTTCTCTGGGTCTCCTGGACTCGGCTTTAACCCCTCCTCACTGTTCCGCGTTCACACCGCAGCGTCTCTTGACAGTTCTTTTGGCCCAGAGGCTGAGAAGGGGGTGTAGTGAGCCCCACAACCCCCTCAGTACACTTGCCCGCCTGACATCTTGGGTCTAAGGGGTGGGAACAAGGAAAGGGGGGGGACGACACCCAAAGAAGGGTTTTATTTTGTTTTGTTTCGTTTTTTTGGTTTGTTCATTTTTGAGGTTTGCCCCAGAAATGTAGGTTGCTTAATATTTTAGGCCTCTTATTTTTGTAAGATGTGTAGGATTTGCTGTTTTTCGTTTTATTTTGACAACTCAGGAAGAAACTGACCTCAGAAAGAATGTTAGACTTTGCCTGCTCTCCTGTTACCCCAGCCCCACCCCAGGGGAGCAGATTCTCCCAGACCAGAGAGATTTGGGGCTGCTGAGGAACACCAGATAGGAGCCCCAAACTGCTGTTGCTGGGATAGAAGCAGAATGTAGCCAAGGGCTTCCTCCCTAGGCCCAGCTCGGGAGCAAGAGGAGAGGGTGGGGGCAGGGCACACCACAGGGGGGTGAGGCTGGCTCCCTTATTGCCTCTGTCTCCTGTGGGCTCCGTCCTCGGCTCCAGGTTGTCTGCGAAGCTTACAAGGGGCTGGGGTGCTCTTGCCCATATCCTGCCTCAGAAGTGACCCAAGTAGAATGTTCTCAGGCCACCTCACTGGACACCTGCTTGGCCAGAGGCTCCCTAGCCCAGGCTAAGAGGATTCCCTCAGGAATGAAGATGATCTAGCCGGAAGTCTGGCTGGGCACAATATTGACTACTAGGAGCCAGGCCACCTGTTCCTCTGGGACCTGTCAGGAGGCAGAGCGTTGCTCTGGAGAAAGTCCTGTGGGGAGTGTCTTTACTTGCTCCCCTGGAGGGTTGGGCCTGGAGAGTACAGGGTGTTGTCCTGTGACAGAGGGACTAGGACCCTCCTCTTCCCACCCGATTCCTCCTCCTGCTTGTTCCCCTCACAGGGCTTCAGTGGTTTAGCCCCTCAGATCATGTCACAATCTTGGTACAAAGAAGGGACGGACGCTCCCCATCTTTGTCCCACCCTAGCGCCCCCCTTATCCCTACAGTTCCTAGTCCCCTGTCATGAGAGATGTGGTAGAGACCAGGGTGCTGAGGGCAGGCGCTAGCCGTGAGTGTGGACAGGAAAGCTCTGCCTCCTCTTCATCCTTGTTCTCTCCGAGCCTCTCTCTGGAGCCAGCCGACCAAGGGCGGGACTCAGTGCTGCTGCACAAAGACCCTTGGTGGGAACACGGAGTAAAGGAGTTCTCTCAGGTCTGGGGGTGGGGGTGGGGTAGAGGGGTTAGGGCAGTGGAGTTGGGGACCCAGCTGTCCCTTCAAGCAGCAGCACCTCTAGGGGACTGGGTAGTTCGTGGGCCAATCCCCAGGGTCCCTCCACGTCCTTTGCTGGGCTCTTTGTGTTCCCAGGTTTGGAAGCTTTGCACACGAAGACAGCCCCCAGCTGCAGCACCTACCTCATGAGCACGGGGCAGGATGGCAGGGTGGGTCCAGCTCTAGCAATGTTGGGGGCATACCAAAGAATCCAGGGGTGGAGCGTGGGAGGGGCAGCGTGCCCGGCCGGGGAGGGCACACAGGCCGTCCGGCCGTCCACTCCCTCCACCAAGGTTGGGTTGGGATCCTGTCCTTCAGCTGTGACCATTTCTACCTCATTTTGCTGTGTGTTGTACATGGACATATTTATCTCCTGTCTGATAATGCTCTGCAGTTGTGGTCTGTCTACCTCAGAAGAGACTGTATTTTAAGAGAAAATATTACACAGTATTAAAGTTATGACGTGTGGTATTCGGAGGATTTCTTGGGGGTAGTGGGATGTGGGGAGGGGTGGCTACCCAGGTTGGCTACCCTGGCTGTGGCTCTGGGTTTCTGTTTCTTCGGCGAAAAGTAATGGGACATTGCTGTTCACTCCATGCCAGCGTTTGTCCATTGCTGGCCTGCGGTCACTTAAAAATCCTTCCCGGCTGTCACTGTAGCCCTCGTCTCTGAAGTACGAGGAGCAGCGCAGTGTGAACATGTTGGAGGATGAAGGGAGCTGAAGAGAGGCCCTCAGGAGGATGCCCACAGCCCTGGTTGAGGTGAGGGTCATACTTGTCTTCCACACGGTAGAGGGCAAGGGGTGGAGACATCCAAAGCCCAGTGTTTCGGGCCACAGGAAGGCCTTTGTCCGTTTCCTCACCTTCTTTCAGTCCTGGTTATCTCCGACAGCTCACGATAGACCGAGAGATGGGAAAACTCGGGGCACCGGGAGCTCTGTGGAGAGGCTGGGACCCACTGCTGTCCCGGGGCTTTGCCTGCCGCAGGCCAAGGGGAAGTGTGCTGGGCTCCCTCTCACTCTGTGCGCAGGAGGCAAAGCCAGAAGCAGCCTCCGGAGAGACAAGTTGACTATTCCTGCCTTTGGGTCGTTGGCGGTCCAGATGTGCCCTCCTCCAGTTATCATTGAATGATGTCATTGTGGGGTGCTGAATAGAACCAAGCTTGCAAGGACACCCCTGGGAACCCATAGCGGGAACAGGCTTCCAAGCAGACCATATAAATACATAACTATAAGAAGCAGGGAAGAGTGCTGGGAGAGGGTGGATCCCCGCAGCTGGCACAGTTGTCTGGTTTTGATGCAGTCACCGGGCACTTCTGTTGAGTAGACCCTGGTATTTCTAGAAGAGTGGTCCAATGAAGAATGCCCAAGGGGAGCCAGGTGGTGGTGGTGCACGCCTTTAATCCCAGCACTCAGGAGGCAGAGGCAGGTGGATCTCTGTGAGTTCAAGGCCAACCTGGTCTACAGAGTGAGTTCCAGGACAGCTAAGGCTACACAGACAAACCCTGTCTTAAAAAACAAGGGGGGGGGGGGAGTGCCCACGAGGGCTGGAGAGATGTCTCAGCAGACAGTGCCTACCATGCAGATGTGGAGACCAGAGTCTGGATCCCCAGCACCCGTGGAAATGCTGGGTGGATATGGCAGCTCACCTGTAATTCCAGCCTTTGGAAGGCTGAAGTAGGGCTTCTCTCAGAGTAAGATGGCTAGCTGGATTAACCCTGTCAGTGGCTTCAACTGAGACCCTGATTTGGTGGATAAGGCAGAGTGATGGAGCCCATCAGCCTCAGGCCTGTACTAGTTTACATACAGGTGTCCCCACACCACACACAGACACACGGTGGGGGGGGGGGAGTACCCACAAGCGACAAGTCAGGAACCTTCCCAGGTAGGAGGGGTAGGGGTCAGCAAAACACGGAGACTGGAGAGGGCATTGTTGACATCGTTCATGTTTGTTACAAGAGCATAAAATGGGGACAGGAGTGGGGACACCTGAGGTTGGGGGAGTCAGGCGGGACCCCAAGCTACCCTCAAGCCTCTGCATGTAGGTGGACAGGTGGCTGTGGACAGGGGCCTGCTTCGCAAAAATTCACACACTGAGTCCACAAACCTCTGCTGAATACACTGGTCACTATCGGGGCAACGCGGGGACCTCAGTCTCATGGGTGAGGCAGTAAAAAGGTCTAGCTGCAGTGTGTTAGGCGTGATGGTGTGTGTGGGGGATACTTAGAGACGGGGCTATGATGTGTGTGGCTCCCCCAGGGCATGAGATAGCAGGGTCCACCATGGAAGCCGAATTGCGGGACTGTGGGGCCAAATCACAGTCAAGCCACCTTGGGAACAGATGTGTTAGGTAAGTGGGGGGTCCAGTGTGTGGGGATGGGAGAAGATGAGGGTTTAATCTAGCAGACGTGGGAGCATGCCGCGAGAATCTGGACCTTGGCTGCAGCTCGTCCAGCGCTTCTGATAGAAGTCGAAGGATAACAAATGAATTAGACTAGGGTTTCAGTGGGTTTAGATTAGGCCTTTGAATATAAGACCCAGACTGCCACCCAATCCCCGCCCTCCACCGGGGGCTGCTAGGAGCCGCTTTCCCCTAGACTCAGCGTTCAGCTCTGTGGCCCCCGCGCGGTGGCTGACTTCTCTCGGCAGGAATGTCCGCGTTCCACGAATGTCCCTCGCCTCTGCGCCGCCACAATCCCCAGCCTCGCGGCATTCGGAAGCCCTCCCTCAAGCCGAGCCATGGCGTGGGCGCTGGTCCTGGCGCTCTGCAACCGGGCGCTGGCCCCCGCGGGCGCGCTGGACGCCATGGGCCCTCACGCGGCCGTCCGCCTGTCGGAGCTGCTGACCCCGGAGGAGTGCAGCCACTTCCGATCGCTCCTCGAGGCGCCCGAGCCCGACGTGGACGCCGAGTTCGCCCGGCTATCTGAGGACTGGCTGGCCCGGCCCAAGCCGCCCACAGCCTCTCCTGGAGCGCAGGACACCGTGGGGCAACGGCGGCGGGCGGCAGCCGGGCAGCCGTCGGAGGGACCGGAGGGCGCGCCAGCCGGGTCCGGCGAGGTG